CTAGGCAACACATATATTTAAAAAAGAAGAGGAAAAAGTACCAAGAAAAGGACTTAATGCTGTTTTTATTAGATTAATGATCTATGCCATATTTAAAGGAGTTTCTTATTCAATGGAGAAGAATAAAATCAATAACAAATAATTATGAAAATATCAGTATTCATTTATGATAAAAACTCAATAAGATAGGTATAGAAGGAGAGTACCCCAACATAATAACGATCATATGTGACAAAGCCTCAGCTAACCTCATACTCTATGGTGAAAAACTGAAAACCATCCCTCTGAGAATAGGAACAAGACAAGGATGCCCACTTTTGCCACTCTTATTCAACATAGTATTGGAAGTCCTAGCCAGAGCAACTGGGCAAGAAAAAGAAATAAAAGGGGTCCAAATTGGAAAGAAAGAAAGAAAACTGTCACTATTTGCAGATGACATGATTTTATATATAAAAAATCCTAAAGAATCCACTGAAAAACTATTAGAAATAATAAACAAATACAGTAAAGTTGCAAAGTACAAAACTATCGTACAAAAATCAGTTGGGTTTCTATACATTAACAAACAAATAGCAGAAACAGAAATCAAGAATACAGTCCCATTTACAATCAGAAAAAAAAAAGAATAAAATGCCTAGATATAAATTTAACCAAGGAGGTTAGTCTTGTACACCGAAAACTGTAAGACATTGTTGAAAGAAATCAAAGCAGACACAAAGAAATGGAAATATATTTGTGCTCATGGATTGGAAAAATTAACATTTTCAAAATGTCGAGACTACCTAAAGCAATCTACAGATTCAGTGTAATCTCTACCAAAGTCCCAGTGACAATTTTTCATGGAAATAGAGCAAAGAATCCTAGAATTTATATGGAACAACAAAAGACCCAGAATAGCCAAAGCTATTCAGAGAAAAAAAGAACAAAGCTGGAGGAATCACACTCCCTGATTTCAAAGTATGCTACAAAGCTATAGCAATCAAAATAGCATGGTACTGGTATGAAAATGGACACACAGATCAGCAGAACAGAATTGAGAGGCAAGAAATAAACCCACACACCTATGAACAGCTCATTTTTGACAAAGGAGCCAAGGACATATGATGGAGTAAAGAAAGTCTGTTCAATAAATGGAGTTGGGAAAATTGGACAGCCACATGCAAAAGAATAAAAGTAGACCATTATCTTACACCATACATAAAAATTAACTCAAAATGGATTAATGACAAATGTAAGACTTGAAACCATACAACTCCTGAAAGAAAACATAGGCAGTACGCTCTTTGACCTTAGTTTTAGCAGCATATTTTTGAATATATCTCCTCAGGCAAGGGAAACAAAAGAAAAAATAAACAAACATTAAACTAAAATAAACAATACGTCAAACTAAAAAGCCTCAGTACAGCAGAGGAAATCATCAACAAAACAAAAAGCTAATAATTAGGAGAAAATGTTTGCAAATCATATATTTGATAAGTGGTTAATATCCAAAATATATAAAGAACTCAGACAACTCAACAACAAAAAACCAAACAATTAAAAAATGGGCAAAGGGTCTGAACAGACATTTTTCCACAGAAGATATACAGATGGCCAACATGCAAACAAAAAGATGTTTGACATCACTAATTATTAGGGATATGCAAATCAAAACTACAATGAGATATCACCTAACACCTGTCAAAATGGCTATTATTAAAGAGGCAAGAAATAACAAGTGTTGGATAGGATGTGGAGAAAAGGGAACTGTCATACACTGTTGCTTGGAATGTAATGTGGTGCAGCCACTGTGGAAAACAGTATGAATGTTCCCCCCAAAATTAAAAATATAAGTACCATATGATCCAACTATTCCAATTCTGGGTATTTATCCAAAGAACATGAAAACACTAGTTCAAAAAGATATATGTACCCCTTTGTTCATTGCAGTGTTATTCACAATAGCAAAGACTTGGCAACAGCCTAAATGCCCATGGAAGAATGAATGGATAAAGAAGTGGTATATGTATACAATGGAATACTACTCAGCCATAAAAAAGGATAAAATCTGACCATTTGTGACAACATGGCTGGCCCTTGAGAGAATTATGCTAGGTGAAATAAGTCAGACTAAGAAAGCCAAATATCATATGACTTCACTCATATGTGAAAGATAAAACAACAACAACAAATACACAAATACAGAGAATGGGTTGGCAGTTATCAGAGGGGAAAGGGTGGGGGCAGGGAGAAAGGGGTAAAGGGGCACATGTGTATGATGACAGATGGCAACTAGACTTCTGGTGGTGAATATGATGTAGTCTATATGGAAGTTGAAATGTAATGATATATACCTGAAGTTTATATAATGTTATAAACCAGTGTTACTTCAGTAAAAGAAAGAAAGAAGAAAGAAAGACATCAAAATAGCTTTCACCCAATAGAACTACATTTATGATAAGAATGTCAATTCTTTTATCAATGGTGCTAAAACATTCTTTACTCTGGTCATCTTTCATGTGGCTTTTCAGATATAGCAAAAGTTGCAGAAGAATTCTGAGTTTTCAAGGAAAGGATAAACCACAGAATGCAGCTGATAGCTATGGAAGTGATGGCTCTGTTGTGTTTATTGGGATCCAGAGTCATTCCCATTTAGCTCATTTCTGTATGAAAATGAAAGTAATCAGCCTTAGTGTGTGAAACCATTAGCTTCTGCTTCAAAGTGCTGCATTTCAGAAAGGTCACAGGGGCTGGCCCAGCCGCAACAGGAATTTTGCAAGTGATGCGTGTCACATTTGCATATGATAATTAGTTTCTCTATAAATACAATTTGTTCTGCAGATTAACATTTTGTGTTCTCATTAGATAGCAAACATTTCCATATTAAACCCACGAAGCTGCCAGAGGTGGCTCTGCTTGCATTGCATGATAGCATTAATACTTCTGTTTATACTGCTGCCAATTAGCAGTGCTAAGTCTTGGAAGCAAAAAGGAGATCACTAATGCTATTAATGTAAATAGTAATAATAATGCTGAGACGTTTTCACAAACCTTGTTAACTTCAAAGATCATTAGCAGTCAAGTACCTCTGGGCTGTAAATGGTTGTGTTCTTGGGCACATAAAAATATCAGCATGTCTAGAATGCTTTGCTCTGTATGCTGGAGTCTGCTCCTGGCTTACAAGGTGAGTCTTAAGTGATCTGCATACTGTAAAGAGAGAACGCAATTGAAACATTGTTTCCTTTTGCTAAATACATCTAGTCCAATAAGGAAGTCGGATGTACTGTAGACAAGAGAAATAAGAATTTGCTCAACTTGTCCAGCTCATGCAACACAATTTGCTCCCATTGCTAAGGCCAACTTCTTGAAGGAGTGAGGCGAAGTATTTTATGGTCCCATAAAGGGTTTTTAAAAGCAGGATGCCCCAGAATTACTCATGGGAGGATTTAGTTTTCACTGGACCAGGGTGAAAATTTCTCTGTTGAAAGGAGTGTCTAGCGAAATAGAAGATGGTGATGGACACATGAGATATGGGATGGTGTTCATCATTTCCTTCGTTATTATGGACTTGATGGACAGTAGAGGAGGTTGCTCCAGAGAAACAACCCTTGTGAAGCATTAATTCTGCAGTTGAAACGGATGCACTGACATGAGGACTAATGGTCACTTACCTCTAACTTAGTGACAGAGGATGGATGATCCTGCAGTCACCGTTGATAAGAACAGCTCCTACAGAAATCAACTAACTTCATTTTCCTGCATAAGTTTTTTGTTTGATGTGCCATATATACTTAGATTCAGCAATTTTTTTTTTAAAAAAAAGCATTGGTTAAGGCACCAAATATATTCAACTCAAATGTAAATGCTTTACTATTGAAGTTTTGGCTGTGTATGAGGAAATGATACTAAAATGCAGAATTTTATATCATTTCAGATGTCAGGCTTAAAAGTTGGATAAAAGTAGCTTTGTTTCACAGCTCTGTCATTTACTAGTGGTGTAATTTTGAATAAGATGGTTTCTCTAAGTCTTAATTTTCTCACATGTAAAACAAGAATAAGGACTATACCTACCTCACAGGATTATTATGAGGATTAAACGAGTTACCCAAGTGTTAATGCAGTGCCTGGCCTGTAAGATAGACTCAATAGATAGAAACTATTATTATCGTTATTGCATATAATCACATTTCCTGATGGTGGAGGATTTACAGCAACAAAACAGCATTTCTCTTAGCAGATTTACAAGAACCCCAGTCCTCCTGAGATCCTACCCAGAGGTACCTCACATGTGTCAGATGCAGAACCTGTCCTCTCGGCTGTCACCCTGAGTGCACCATTTCTCTTCCTACCCGAGCTTCTCCTTCAACATCTCCTGCCACCATGATGGCTTTTCCTCCCCCACTTCTCCATCCTCACTCCTGCCTTGCTGTAGAGCTAATGTTGTCTTTTCTAGTCTAATATGATATGATATTCTCCCCCAAGTCTCCATCTTATGTGGGGTACAACATAAGATGTCACTCAAGTTTCAAAACATTGTCACGTTGTACCTTGTATTTTCAGTGTTGGTCAAAGATTTTTGTGATCTTGGCCTCTGATTCTCAGTCTTCCCTCTCCCCAAGTTTAGCAAAAGTTCCTGAGGGAAGAAAGCTGGATCCACAGAATGAGCTGAGCCCATGTTCCTAAACATTCCTTCTTTCTCATGCTGACTCATGGATCTTGAAGGATGACTTGTAGTTGGTTACCTAGTTACTTAGTGGTTTCCCCATGAAGCTCTTTAGTCCCTTCCATAAACACATACCCTGCTGTTCATGTTTGAATCATCAAGGTGAACACATGCAAGATTCTCAAGCTGGAATTTCTCCTATATGTTGTTAGGTGTAGAAAGGAATCAGTGGAAAGTGATTACTTTGCTTCTGACAACCAAGACAATGGGTGGAGGCTACGGAAAAAAAGATATCAGCTAAACTTAAGAAAGAGCATTCTAATAGTCATAGACGCACAAGGACAGCTGCTCTGGGAGAAATGAGCTCTCTGTTTCTAGAGGTATCCAAGCAAAAGCTGAATGATAACTGGCAAGATGGCCAATAAAGGGGATTCATGGATCGGTTGGAATAAACGGCCTAAACAACGGTGGCTCTAAATTTCTCTGTAAGAGGATTTTCAGGCACAAATCCAATTTGAAAGGTATATTGGAGAGCGAGGGAGTCTTTTTAATTGTTTTGAAACCATGTTTTGCATAATGCTTTACATAAAATTAAGAAGCATCAGTTATCCTTATCAAAGCCCAAAGTGATAGGCTGAAGGTGGTTATTTATTCATTCTACAAACCCTTGTTGAGCACTTATTAGGTGGCAAGCACCCTTCTAGGTTTTAAGGTAGACTGATGAGCAAGGCACACTTCCTCTTGAGCTTGCATTCTAGTTGGAGGCAGAAGGACCTGTAGAGATAAGAAAAGATGAATACAAGAAAAGATGGATATATGTTAAGACACTCTATCAGCTTCTCTTTTCACCACTTCCACTGGGGTCTTTTTTTCTCATGAGTTTCCCTGAGACACTATTCTTTAGCACCACTGCAACCAGATTAAAGGGGAAGAAGTTGAGAGATGATAGATAAATCTCTGATGCGAAGAGATATGACAAGTGGGTTTCTCCCACTAGCTGTTTCTCTCCCTACACTCAACTTGAGAAGAGCAAGAACTCTCTCATTCACATACTAAATGCTTAATAAATAAATAAATAAATGCACGATATAAGAATGTCGAATATATTACCAAGGATCATCACATAAATCCTTCTCGGTATGCCTTCAGAGAAAAAGGATATAAAATCATCTTCCTGGGTCAGATAGCTGACAAGTGTGTCAAGTGTCCTTCATGGCCCTGTGATTGTCTGTGGCTTTCCAAGAGCGAGCCTTGCATTTCCCCTGGACTTTCTCCTGGCATTGGATCTTCTGAGCCCCCACGGTTTCCATCACAGAATGGATTTTTGGAAGCGAAACAGGCCTGTTAAAAAACTCTTCTTTATGCAGTGAAGGATGCAGGGAAACTGGAGGAAGTTCAAAGAAAAATAACAAGAATGATTAAGGGGCTGAGAGCATGATTTATGCTGAATGATTAAAAGGATTAAACATGCAGAGCTTGGCCAACACTACATACTTAGCTATAAAAAATAAAAATTAAGTGCCAAAGCTCTCAGCTCCCATGAAAAATACAAATTTGCATATAATTTGGCACATATTTCTACGTGAAGTTCAGCAGAGCCTTACTGAAGCAGCATTCACACAATGCCAAAACTGCTATCCTATTTGCTTGGTTTAAAGTACAGTCTGATAATGTCAGTAAAAACTAGCTATTTGCCCTAATGGAATAGACAATTGAATCACAATATCCCTACCCAGCACCATATTCACAGGTGATGCATCCATAAAGTATATAAAATATGTAACACGTAGTCATTTACCCAAGAATCACAGACTAAAATCCCTACATTGGGCAAACACATAGCCAAATGACAGAAGTGGACCAAGCTTGGAGGGTACACAGCCCATTGAAAGGGAGCAGCCATTATGGGTTCCAGCTAAGTGTTTCCATGAGGGAATTTTGGCTAAGGGTTGCCAGATCTTCTTATCTATTAAATGAAGCCAGTGATTCAGGGTGCTTCCAGCAGTAAGTATTGAAAAACCAGCTTAAAGAGAAGAAGATGGTGGAGCCATACCCCAGAGTTACTTATCTTTGGAGTGCAAGGCAGGAGCTATCGGGCTAGAAGGTGGGCGGAATGAGAATGGATGTGAGGAGTCAACCAAGTGGCATTCATTAGAGTTTAAAAATCCAGATTGTTATATTAAAAAATCTGTTGACTTAAAAAAAAGTAAACACTGCTAGAAAAGTCATTCTGTGGATACCAATTTGCCACCTCTTATCTGGCTAGCTTCTTTGTTTCAGACTTAGAAAAACTGAGGTCCAGAAAAAAGGAAAGCTTCTCAAAGGCATAGTAAGTGGATCATCACAACAAGAACTGAGGAGGAGCAGTGGCCTGTGAGAGGATATTTGGGTTCTTCTCTGATTTTATTGTCTGGGTAAGTCACTTCTAGGCTCATAACTTCTAACTTTTATAGCTCAGTCTGTCTGTTAATAAAGAGGCTGGACAACAGAGATTTATGATTTTTCTCTCAACTCTCAGCCCCGTACTCTGTTAGGACCCTTATGAGGAAAACATACTTAAGAATTTTATAATTATAATCCCAACATATACAGGCACATAGGTGCATCAACATATATTCACGTGCAAGCTTAACTTGAATGGGGCATTAATGAATATGAGGGAAGGGTATTTTTTTTAATATGGGACTGTGCAGTTTTGTTGAGGTTATGCACTGCACAATTCTAGGGACGTCGGTGTGAAGTGCACGCTCCCTGTGTGGCACTGAAAGGAGATATCAGCCTGGCACTGAGAGCCCTGAAACATTGAGAGGAGCTCTAGTGGTGGAATTCTGAGACATCGCAGCTCAAACAGGCTAAAACTCCATTTGCCAAATTGCCAAGATTTCTTTTACAAGCTCTCTGCCCCAGCTGCAGTATGACGACTTTGAAAGAGAAAGAATCAGAGAAGAGTTATGGTGAAAAAATAGGGAAAATGGTTATAGCTTCAAAAGAGTGAAGGGCTCATCCTAACAGGTGGACACAATTTTGAGTAAAGGAGACTAGTTATCATTTTTAGAAAAGGAACATTTTGCCTAAACCCGCTGAAAAATTATGACAGCGAGAATTATGAGATGGAGGAAATACGTAGTAAAGGAAGTGGTGGAAACTCCATCACTGGAGCCGTTTGAAAGTCAGCAGGCTAAGGAGCTAGAAAATCTACTCTAGGAAAGAATCTTCCACTGATTCCCCTGGGCTGGAAGGATGATATAGTGGGTCCCCTCCATCTCTAATTGCTGTAGTTCTTACGCTTTATGTGTTTTCCAGGGTTTCATAATATTGCTGTCAGAACAGCACTGCACTCCCTCCAAAAAAAGGGGAAAAAACAAACTCCAAACAAACCCTAAACTAGTTGCTCCAAGGAGCATAAAGACTTGCCCAAATGGAAATTGTGCATTTAAAAGTCTCCTGTGTGAATTTCATTATTCCTTGAAGGTAGCCCACCGAGACGAGGGCCAATCATCATCATTTGACTTCATTTATCTGGCTTTCTCTTTCTGGTTTATTTTAATTTCAGGGGAGAAAAAGCAATGTGACTGCAAATTTTCATAGCACTGGCTGAAAAGGATCTGCACTTTTTTCTCCTTCCATCCACTGATATTCTACTAAGAACTGGCTCTCTTGGTGATGAATCAGTAAGAGGGATTAGCGCACAACCAAGAGGAAATGGAGACCTCCACATCCGCCGTCTGAATGCAGGGAATATGGAGTTCTCTGAAAAGAAAAATTGTTGGGCTCTCTCAGTAAAGTGGGTTTGTGGAGTACACGTGAATGAGGATTGGTTGTGTTATGGAGGTTTTGGTGATTCTGTCTTCTATCCTTTCTTATACGTATCGCTGTGTTACCTGTTTTCAGTTATGGACTCAGAAATGGAAGAAATCTGAGTCTGACCCAGGGAATTTGGCGTTTCCTTCCTTATTACACATAAAGTCTAGGAAATACCGCAGGGGTCAGATGCCTGGTCTCTGTAGTCCAGAGTTCTCTCTCTACGGCAGCAGCTCCAAGGGTGGCTTAGTAGCATAATCCAGAACCATGTCTAAAACGTGATGAGAGAAACAGATATGTTCATGAAATCCGGATGCCGCACTAACTGAAACATGCCTTCTTATATAAAAAAAGTGGAAAACCTGCTCTAACCTTCGTCTCAGTCTTATTTGGGTTGTGGAAAAGGGTCTATGGTCCAGATACCCTTCAATGGTTACCAACCATGCTTATTTTTGGCTACATATTAAGAAACTATAATTAGAAACCAACATTTTATAAACATTTTCTTTTACAATAGTTTTACATGTATGATAGTTTGTAAATTTGCAAAAAAATTTTTCCAGTAAATATTCCTTTAGAGACATCCACCTTTAGTTTGAAATGAAGGAGAAACCTCACCCGTGTTGATGAGGTCACAGTGTGCCCCTAGTGGCCCAAATTCCACAATGAAAGCATTAAGGCTTCCAACTCCTGGGCCCGGGAATCTAGAACCAATGGTGGGAGGGAAGGTGCACTGAAGAAGGGGTGAATGCAGCTCAATTTTGTATGATGACCTTTTACTGCTGGCATCTCTCTTTTATTGCTTCCTTTAGAATCTAAGATTGTGAACCTCGGAAACTTCCATGTTTATCTTGCAATTTAAAATGGAAAAAACAAACCCCACCACAAAGCACTGGTTTTTGGTTGCGGTTTTCAAATTTGTATGATTCCGACACAGTGTTGCCTAATCTTCAACCCTCCTTGCCCTCCCCCGACTCCTCCCTTTCGGAAATGTCTGGATCTTGTTTTTCCTCAGGATAATTTCTCCAGGCAACTTTGGAGTCTTTCCTTTCCAACCTCTAGTCCTTTCTCCACTGCTTCCATCAATAAACGTGTTCCTTTGCTCCTAGTCTAGGGCCAAAGCCTGTATGTTAAAGTGATGGTGTCACAAAACGCATGGTGATGTCATAAAGCACTGGGAGATCTGGCAAAAGCAATGATTCCTGTTTTTATTTCCCTGGGAAATTACTGGAACCCAAAGGGCCATCACATCTTCTGTATATGCACCAGTTGTAGAAATAGTGAGGGCCTAGTTAACTTTGGGCATTTACATGTCTGGCAAATTTCTGTAAAATGCTGTGTAGAGAATATAGATTTAAGGGTCCGAAGTTATTAAAATGGGGCGGGGTGAGAGGAAACATGCCAATAGAAACAGACAATGTGGTTTTTTCAATCCTTTCCACAGGAATTCAGGCAAAAGGGGAATAAAATAATTCTATAGGGTCACTTGTAATTCAGCTTAAACTAAGCTCAGGAAACTGAATAATATTTCTCAGAAGGCTGATTTATGCACTTAAAGTAACAAAGTCCCAGGTGCCATAGGAAGTAATACAACTTCTAGCAACATCCTAGCCTGCGTGCTCGGACTAACTGCCTAAATCAATTTCTAACTTCTCTTTAAAACATTTCAGAGTCAGTTCTACTGGGGCTGTTTGAGCCCTTGCTTCTCTGTGAGCAGGGCTGCTGCAGTCAGCAAAGTCCAGGGGCCTAGGTAGGCTTCACATTATAAACGAATTGTATTCCAAAGTTCGTCTGTGAGTGATTTCTTTAGAAACCTAAACACATTTTCTGTAAAGGAACAGAGGTAGACACAGTTAGTTTCCCTGGCTCTCACAACCCTCTAAAGTCCTTTAAAATGATAGGCAGGTCAAATCTCCTCTTCTGCATAAAAACTAGACAACAGTCACATAATCGCACAAAACTGGTAGGGTGGGGATCAGATGTAATAAACTGTTTTTTTCATTTATCCCCTTCCCCTGCTCTGTTTATTCCTTAATTAGAGGAGAATAAGAGACAGATGGAAATTTGGTGGACATCTTGATTGAGGCATCTCAACATTTTCAAGGATTTTAGAGACCAATGGCACAGTTTCTTTATCATAACTAATTTTGCTTCACTATGCATAGTTTATCTTTTCTGACAGAGAAAATAACAAGAAAATGCTCAGCAGGGAAAGAAAAAGGAAATCTCTAGCAATTTCTATGGGAAGGAGGCCCTTTCGGGGTAGCTATTGTTGCGAAGTCAGGATATCTTGGAACCAAGTGTTTCAAAGTCAAATTTACTTGGAACCATCAAGCTTCATTCTGCTTCTTGGTTCCAAAGACCTCGCTCACCCAGCTCTTTATTAGGCATGCTAATAAAAAGTAAAGTAAAAACATTTCTGGCAACCCATGACTCTTTTCTCTCAAAGTGCCCTGAAGTGGTGGTACAGAGTGGAACTAATACATCCCAAATGTAAGTAGTCAGAGGGAGAAGGAAGAGAAACAAAGGGCCTGGATACTTTACATACTGGATAAGAAGACCTTGATAACCGAGTTGACTGTATTTGGAATTTTCCTGTTTCCTTCTGAGAGGAGACAGAGAGCTGAATGAAGCACTTATCTAAGAAGTGTCAGAACCCTTTCACAATGTTATTATAAGGATGCTGGTAAAGCAGAGGAAGATTTTGGCAGGTACAGATGGGATTATATTTGAATGAATGTATTTTCTTGCTACATGTTAAGCTGTACTTTTCTAGTATCAAGCTCTTAAGGAGTTCAGATAAAGGCCTATCAGAAACTCTCCATTCACACTCTCCTTCGCATTTGTTATAAGGAAATCAGCATCCCAACTGGGACATGAATGGAACTAAATGATTTTAGTTCAATGTTTGGGAGAAAGCACTCTAAAGCAGGAATCATAGCAGGAGAAGTCTGGCTAAGAAAGAAGTTTCTGGAATATTCCATGTGGGGCTGAGTGGGGTGACGGATCGTTTCTAACAGGTTAGACCCACTTTTAAGTGAAAATCATTTGAAAGAGTCTCAATTGGGCTTCACAGGGCCCTAACGTGAGAGAATGATGAAATCAGAAGTATATCCTCATGAAAAAGTTTAATTCAGAAGGAGAGGACTCTAAGAGGGTCTAGATAAAGAAGTTTGGGGTTTCAGAGGAAAAAATATCATTTCCAGGAGGTCTTACATCTTGGCCCACTGACAAAATGTTAAAATCTCCTTTTTCCCCATTTGAGCCAGAGAATTTTCCTATATATAAGTAATTTAATCTCAAAAGATAAAAAGAAAACCCTTATACAAGAGTTACTAAAATGGTAATAAAAGAGTAGCAATTTTCTTCACTATGATAACAATGTTGGTATAGTAGTTCACAGCATCTGAAAAGCATGCCATAGTATGCTTAGCACCAAGGAGGTCTCGGATGAAGTTAGGTTTTTAAAGTATGCAGATCAAAGGCAGAAGGAAGAGCACATGGTCAAGAACAAATGTAAAGCAATGACATAGAACTTGGTAAGAACAGAATCAAGAGGATAACCTAGAAGGAGAGAAAAGTTGTCGGAAAATGGGACAGCCAGGAATTAGTGATGAGCAGATAATAGAGAACAAGGGAAGGGTAGGTATTGTGCATTGAGAATGGATGGCAGACAAGAGAATGAGCTATTCTACTCCAATGAGATTCACTCTTCTCTAATAGAGAAAACTGTCTTCAAACTCAAAGGAATAAAACAAACATGATAAAGAAGAAACTAAAGCCCAAGATAGATGAGCTACTTCAAAAGACATCTAACTTTTAAATTACTTCAAAATGTTTAGGTTCACATACATTATATTCTAAGATATTGAGAGAACTCTGCAGGTGGGACCACTTTAAAAATATTTTTTATTTTGAAATGATTGTAGATTCACAGGAAGGCACAAAAAATTGTACAGGGCAGTCCTGGGCACAATTCAGTCAGCCTCCCCACAGGATTTTAAAACCACAGACCACATTTATGAGAATTCATGGAGAATGAGAAGAATGGTCCCAGAAGACTGACAGACGGACAAATAATTTTAGAATTGTCAAAGTAGTGGGAAAGTAATTTCTGAAACCTATCATTTGGTGAGCTGTAATAGATGTTTTGCTAAATTCTAAATTCTAGGGATGGTTGATCAACGTTTTGAGTTCACGTGAAGCAGTGATATTAGGAATAACACTAGGAATAACCAGACCATTTCTTTTTTTGGAGAGAATTTCTTGACTGAAAAACCAAGTGACTTTTGTCTCCAGTATATATGCTTTCCCACAGCTATTTGAAAAATTCTTTCATTATCTGTCTGTTGACAAATTGGTTTTAACCATGATATAGTTAAAGGAGCTCATTGCTAGTACCGAGAAATCGATGACTCAGTGTCAAAATGGAAGGTGATTCTGATGGACTGTCACAGGACTTTGGCACTAACTTGGATGACTGGAAAAGACTCAAAACTGACCTTGGCTGTTGGAACCACCAAGACGAATTTTGATAGTTTTTAAAGAATCATACTATAGATATACAGGATGTGAGAAATGTGTTTTAATAGGAATAATTGTGAAAAGACTTTGGAGTTCTATTTGACATCTCAATATGAATCATGAGTGAGAAAAATCAGAGTAATTTTAAGACATTATGTGTCTAACACAAAAGATGATAAAGTCACACCATTATTACACTGTCAAAACCTACAGGAAATATTGTGATCAGTAGTAGGTCCCAATTATAAGAGGGACATTGATAAGTCATTACTCATTCAGAGAAAGGTGAGAGTTCTGGGGACACTCATCTTAAGAAGGAGACCAAAGCAGCTGGATTTGTCATAGCTGTCTTCATATAGGAGAGAGGCCAAAATGTGGGAGAAGGATTAGATTAATTCGCTGTGGCCTAAGGTATAGAAACAGTGCTAAGCTATGGAAGGTGCAGTAGTAATCATCTTAAATTAATCTAAGGAAAATATTTTACTAATTAGGAACAGGGGCCAAACACCATATTTTACTGTTGAGGTCAATCATTTTGAGTGTTTGAAGCTTAATGGAGAGATCTTGAAGGAAGATCTAAGTTTGGGAATCAGTAGTCTATAGTTTGAATGAGATTACTAGGAAGTGGGTAAGAGCAGGCATTCATTTCCTAGGATTCATTTCAGCCTGGAGAGTTTTCTTCCTGACTTCAGGGAAGCCAGATTTTGTTTATATGTGTTTACATGTGTTTGGGTGTAGGTAGCGGAATGAAAAGAAACAGTCACAGAGGTTTAAGGACAATTGGGCAAGTTCACAGCGACAGAATTCAATGGAAGGAAATCTGAAAAGGTGAGAGTCAGCAGCAGTTCAAATGCTTGGAAAGGTTTCAGAAGACAAAAATTATAACTTGCCTGGAAGAGGTGCGACATACGTATCGAACAAGGTAAATGATATGCAAAGCAACAATACAAGAGCTGTCAGAAAGCCAAGTGGCAGACCAATTTAAAATAAATGGTGCAGAAAAAAGGGCTATGAGGTCAAATGAAGGAGTTTTCGTGGAGAGAACTGGAGGTTTAAGAAAACCCTGTGGAGATGGTAGGCCATAAGCTAGATCTGAGCATCAAGACACTCTTTATTTCAACCAAAGGCATTCTTATACTTATTTAAACTTTCTTCTTATTATGTCTTCCTTCACATAAGAAGTATCTAAGTGTTTGAAGATGGTTATTAAGTCACTCCTTGACCTTCTTGCCTCTAGCTTTAAGAGTTCCCAATCCTTGAGGAGGAGACTATCTCTAGTGAGAGGCTCACAGAACTTGAGTAGGAGTCGGAATTTGACATGAGGGGAAATAAAGAGCCTCTGCCAGATTCTGAATAACAGTTGTATCATGACCAGAAACAAAAGTTTAAAGAAGAGCATTTTGACTCACAACACTGTATGTGAAAAGATTGGGAAAAGGCTAAGTGCAAGCCTTTTATGATGGGCCTGGGGGCAGAGCAGTGGGAATGGGAAGGAGGGGGTAGACCAGAGAAACACTGGAAATGAAGGATTGCAGAGCTTGGTAACACGTAGGATGCATGATGGATGAGATA